GAAGCGAGGACATTGAAGTTAAAGGGCAGAGTGTAAACCATTTTAAAAGCCTCAGTCTCTCACCTTTCTGACTGGCCACCGGGACCATTCCTCAGTTATTTTTTTTTCCTCGATTTTTCTACACACACACACACACACACACACACACACACACACCCCGCGTGCAATCTGCCCTAAGACACTTTATCGCAGACTGCAGTCAACTTGAATTCCTCACTTTAAGAGCAACAAAGAAACACTTTCAAGGTCGGGTAATTCCTATTAAAAGCCCGGCTCCAGTGCCATCCCGGAGAGTTCAGAAGCGCAGCCTCAATAGAGCAGTGGAGGAGTTGTCTTCCAGGGTCAGACACTTCCTTTTTTAGACAATTGTTGTAGCTGAGGTTTCTGTAGGTTATTCAGAATCCCTCCAAAATCCAAGCCCATGCCTCTGAAGAACTGTGACTTAAACACACTTCTTGGTTTCAGACAATTTACTTTCTTTAACTCTAGGGTTAAGGCCAAAAGATATAAGGAGAGGTTACCCTACCTTGAACTGTCAAAAACCCCAAAGGTCCACTATTTTATAGCAGCTTTTTTTCATGTGGTCATGTCTCCTTTACAGTTTGTCATTGTCCATAAGTGAATGCAGATGTGGTCCAAGTTTCCTGTGACAGAAGCTGAACTACAATTTTCTTAATTTGGATTCCTCTTTGTGGCCTCAAAGGGAGGGAAGCTATGGGAATATTTAGGATGTGTTTAAAGACCAGGGATCTAGACACCTTCGGTTGTGTACCCAATTCCCTGTACATTGGAAAGGTCCTCTCCTGTCCTTACTTGGTTAGAATACAACCAAAATGGATCCATTGACGACTTGCAAGAGTAATACCTAGGGGCTGGGGATGTGGCTCAAGCAGTAGCGTGCTCCCCTGGCATGTGTGTGGCCTGGGTTTGATCCTCAGCATCACATACAAACAAAGATGTTGTGCCTGCCGAAAAACTAAAAGATAAATATTAAAAAATTCTCTCTCTCTTTAAAAAAAAAGAGTAATAGCTAGCCTGAATTCAGCACCTATCTAAAATATTGATAAGCATTCACCAAAGAAAAGACTAACTTTGAGCCTACAATGGCCCTCTTTCATTGACTGAAAGATCTTCTATGGTGGCCTAGGTGGTTCTCAAGAAAGTATGTTTGGGTCGTGAAAATGGAGGGATGGTACTGGGAAGCTTGGGAGCAAGTGCATGTGAGTATCTTTTTATTCAATGTGATTACAAAATTGTCTTACATATGTTTGATGAGTTTATGAGAGAGTTCCAGAAATTTATCTTGGCCACCCAGGTGAGCTAATGGGAAACCAACTGTTGGTGGGAAATGTTGCTGTCTTGTGAGGTTGGGCAGAGCTCATGTTGGAAACTCTGGGCATCTCCTGGCCCACATGGATGAACAGAGTAGGAGGAAGAAAGTTGCCCCCATAACATTCCCTCCTCTTTTTTCTCCTCCCTACTCCTGGCTCCAGTGTTTTCTCCTGGAGAACTGCTGGCTGTCTGCAGACTTGTCTCCTTGGGACGCTTGACAAGGCCTGTAGACACACACACACACACACACACACACACACACACACAGTTCTTAAGTAAGACATGATCGTTCTTTTCTCTAATAAAAAGAAGAAAGACTTCTCTGCTAATAAAGGAAATTTTCTCTGGGTCAGTGGAGGTCAAAATAGTGTGGACGGCTGCCCTCTGCCACTCAAAGCAACAGGTTGAGTGAGGAAAACACTGGAACTGAATGTTATCTTTCCCTACTAGTGGCCCCACTCTCATTCCAGCCCTCCCTCCACACCCCAGGATCCTCTAGGCAGTGGGGGATCATGCGGAAGACTTCTGTTGTCCGGTTAGCTTGCGCACAGGAAAAGCTGGTCTCAGAGCTGTACACTGCTCCATTATCTGCTAAGCTCACACTTCCCTTCCTCTCCATTCTGCCCTCATGAGAGATGTCCCCTATTCTTGTAAAGGACCCCTGCCTCATTCAAAGATGATATCCCATCTGCTGAGATGTGCAATGGAGGGGACACTTGGTTCCCCTAGTACCAAACCCTGGTGAGACCTTTAAGACTTTTCCAAGCCTTTCCACAGAGGTTCATTGCCAACCTGTTATTCTGGGCCTGTGGACTCCCATACCTCCTTTGGGCTGCCTCAACCCTCTCTTGGGTTCTTAGTTCCAGGAAATGCCCTAGCAAGGACCACTGAGGTTGAGCCTTGATCTCTTTCTCTCTCCACTTCCCCCAACCCGTGACCAGTCCCAGTTCTCTCTCCTTCCCAGGAGTCTCAAGGACCCGAACATGTGTTCATTTGTTTTCCATCAGACATTTCCCAGCTTCTAGGAGCAGTGATGGTAGGGTTAGAACCCAGGGCCCTGGCCCCTTCCTCAGATGGATCCAGGAAGAGACCACTAGTGAAGCAGGTACTTGTGGTCATGACTCACAGTCTATTTCCAGCTTGAAAAATGGGTCCACAATGCAGGGTGTGGTGGTGCATGCCTATAACCTCAGCTACTCTCATCTGAGGCAGGAGGATTGCAAGTTCAAGGTCAGCCTCATCAAGTTAGTGAGATCTTACCTCAAAAAAAAAAAAAAAGGACCTGGCTCCTACTCCTGACTTCACTGCAAGGGCCACAGCACTAATTGAGATCAAGGAATGATAACAATTAAGTGAGAATTTGCTAAATGTGTCATTCCCAGAATAAGACAAAGTATGCTAAATTTAATTTGGGATCAGGGACAATCTCTATCTACTATATATGAATGACTTTTCCACTTGGAAGAACTACTCTGATCATGTGATCATGTGGCATTTTCTCCCATTCCAGAAATGACTGGTATAGATGATGTTGAGCTCTTGGTTGGTGCTGAGGATCAAACCAGGGCCTCATGCATGCTAAGCACACACTATACCACTGATTTATGTCCTGATCTCATTTTATCCTAAGATCTACCTCAGAAGGAAATATGCTAGAAAAGATGAAAAAATAAACATGATGGACTTTCAGATATGTTTACATCCATTCTCACAATTCTGCCAGCTGAAAGGTGTTCTTTCTGAATCAACAAGTGGCTGATTGGGGCTCGGCCTTCCATCCAAGGTCCTGAGCAGGTCAAACTCAATGCTGGGTTTGGCTGACTCCATAACAATATGTGTTACATGTCCTCCCTCTGCCCTTTGTCTCTAGACTTAATGTATTTTGTTTCGTGTGGTTTTCACATTTCTCAGCTCCTACGTCAGCCCTTTGAGAGAAATGAGGCAAGGGCTTTCATCATTTCCAAGTGGAAACAGATTGAGAAGGCCTGCCTTGCTCAGTGACACAGCTAGCACCAGGGGCCACGGGTGCAAATGAGTGGACTTCTAACACCAGGGAGTGTGAGGTGGGGTGTCTCCACACCATATGGGAGGGTTTCCTCTGACATCCTCTCCATTCTGGGACTGATCAAGCTAAAAATCATAGATAAAGATAGGCCATGTCCTATTGGGGGGTGAGGACAGGTGGCACATGGCTGCCTTGAGATAGAGCAAGTCCAAGGCTAAGCGCCCGCTTCCTTCCTTCTTGCCTTGGGTTTCTCAGTGTTAAACATTAATCATTAAAAGGAGAAACACCTGAATGCTGATGTAATGATCCAAATTAGTGTTTTCCATCATGTCAAAGTTTACAAAGCTCTGAGCTTTGTCCTTCAGCCTTGTTATTCTGGAAGGTGCTTGAACTTTCGTAATGTAAACACTGCCCCTCATTATTATCAGACTTCTGCATCTTGGCCTCCAGAGTGAGCAGTGGAAAGAAAAAGAAGGAATTCAACAAAAACAGGAATTTATCCCCTTCTCTTTCTTTTCAAAGGTGTGTTTTCTCACTTCACATCCACCTTTAGTGGGTTGTGTTAAATTCATATAATGGAATATTCATCAGTCATAAGGTGAAACAAACAAGTTGCTTTGCCAAAC